CACTGCCCTTCCCTCTGCGCGGTGTGAACTGCGGGGAGGGAGGAGCCGCGGTGGACAGGCCCAACCCAGGGTGGTCTGCAGCCAGCCAGCCAGCAGGAGGCAGGAAGCCAGAGGTCACCTCTGCTCTTCTGACAACTTCGCTGTGAAGCCCCCATGCTCTGACAGGGAGGGCCGGGAAAATCACTGCCCCATCCTCCAAGGGCCAAACTCCGAGAACGGGCAGGCCTTGGGCCCACCAGGAGCGGAGGCTGCAGGACAAAAGGACTCCCCCGCCCCGAGAGGAGCTGCACAGGTCACAGCTGCAGCCCACTGGGAGCCAAGCCACGCGGGACCCTTCAGGGCGAAGCTCTGAGGCCTGAGTGTGGACCAGCTGGACACCAGAACTCCAGGGGCCTGCGCTGGTGGGCTCCCCATCTCTGTGGCAAGCTCCCGGAGAGAGGTCAAGCTCAAGGAGGAAACCCTGGCTTGGCCCGTGGTCCCTGAGGTCCACCCCGTCCCTCGACTCTTGTGTCTGGGCCTGTGGTGAGCCACAGCCTGTGGAGGGGTGGTGGCAGAGCCAGGCTGGCTGCTGGTGACCAGGAAGCAGAAGGGAAAGCAGGAGAGCCAGGGTCAGCACAAGGTGTACCTTCCAGGCCACATCCCCAGGGACCACCCTCTCCAACCTGGCCCCGCCCCCAAAGTCCAGTCACCTCCCCGTAGTACCCCAGCTGACACGGGATGGGGAACAGTCCAGGGAACACTGGGAAGAGCACCCCAACTGTCCTGAGTTCTTCCTCCAGGAACCCCTCCAGGTTCTCAGGGTAAAGATCAGGAAAAAATCCCCTCAGGCCTCTCGTAGCGGGAAAGAGACAGGGCCCTTCAGAAAGATGCCCAGAGCAATCTTCAGTCAAGGCGCCCTCCAGGGGAGTCCAGCCTGGGCCTCCGGCCTTTCAGAGGGGAAGGGAAGAAACCAACTCCAGCCCTCATCCTGGCCCACTACGGGGACAGGAGGAGCCGAGAGGCTCCTGTGAAGGCCACAGCCCAGGGTCACAAGCCCACTAGGACTGGGGCCTACAGGACTACAGAACGTCTTCCCTCTCTGAAACCTTAGTGGCCTGTCATCAGGCTCCTGTGTAGTCACAGGGACTTGCCTCTCAAAGAACTGCAAGCCTGACCTAAGGAAGGGTCTTTTTTGGCCAAACTGTCATACTGTGTGCATGTACCGATGTGTGACATCAAATCCCAATGATATGTATGACTATAACGCACCAATAAAAAGGGGGAGGAAAAAACACACTTAAAAAAAAGAGTCTCTAGACATCAAAGACCATGGCGGGAGAGGGGCCGGAGCAGAGGGAGGCAGCAGAGGGAGCTCTAGCCTGGCCCCAGAGCTACAGCCAGCAGCCAGCTCCTGCCCAACAGGCGACCTGGCCACCTCACCTGAGAAATGGCAGAAAATCAAAGGCAAGAAACGCAGCTGGAGAGGAAAGACAAGTATCAGAACTAGACTCAGACCTGGCAGGATCCGGGGGCCATCAAGTCTGAGTTGAAGTAGCCATGAGTGGTGCGCTCAGGGCTCCTGCGGCAAGAGGGAGCCCCACGCAAGAAGAGGTGGTGATGTCCAGAGAGGGGGTCTCAGGGGCAGTCTCGCACACTGTCACAGCAGTGGAGAACTTTCCACGCCATCTACTGACTGCACCTCCGCAGCTGAAGTATGTCCACAAAAACTTCCAAATGGAAAAGCAAAACAGTGAGGAGATTACAAAAAGTACATCACAGAAGTGTCTTCAGGTGTAGGCGACGCCCCTTGGGCTGAATCACACTCACCCGACCTTGCATCCCTGCTCCTTCTGGCCTTTTTTAGATGGAACTTTCTAAGATAAGGGTCCCCCCCAAAAAAGCCCACTTCTGAACGTGCTTGCTCTCCCTCGCCAGCCTCCGTGACTTTCTCTTGCTCTCCCATGGGGAGCCTGAGGCCCAGAGCAGAGAAGTTGCCCTGGAGATTGTGTAAAGGTATAGTGGTGTCTGGGTTTTATCTGGTGTCCCTGGAAATTCACACGAGCGACGGGGGCAGCACATCTCTTCAGAGACCTTGCAAGCAGAGCGACAGAAGAGCGGAGATGTTTAAATCATTGAGAAAACCATCCTTGTGGCAGGAAAAATCCAGCCTGTCCCCCTTTTCCATGTATGGAACCGTCAAAGAAAACAAGTGTCCAACAGGAGTGTCCTTATAGTGTGGATGTAACTGATCCTTACCATCAAAGCATGAGCAGAAGAGATATGTGTCCCTGCAGAGCCAAGAACAAGGCTACCTGCTTCTCTTTTCCTTTTGACCTTGGTAGATGAAAAAAACTACAAGGCACTGGGTTGAGGTGGAGCCTTGTAAAACAGGTGGAGCTCCTGAACCTTCTGGTGTGCTCTAACCACAAGCCTCCTCCCCAGGAACTGCTAAGCCCTAAGAAATATCCAGAGCAGGGCTTCCCTTTCCATCCTGCCACCATAAGATCTCCCAAAATATCTTGTCTCAATTAGCTAAGGCCACAAAAATGCTAGGCCATCCTGCAGTAGCTTAAAACAGCAATGACCCCTCCTCGTAGTCACTGGCCTTCACATTGACCAAGGCAGCTCATCACAGGTGTCTCATTCTGGCCCCAAGGACAAAGGCCATGGCTACCCTCCAAGCTTTTTGCCATGGCCAAGGTCCAAAGCTCGAAAGGTGCAGGTGGATACATGAAACTCTCAGGACCACACAGGCACTTCCACCCACACGCCACTGGCCAAAGGACCTCACGTGGCCAGCCAAGTACTTTCTGCACAGGCTGCCTCGGCAAGGATGTGATGGGTAACATTGCTGCAGGGACAGAGCCTGTGGAGGCTGCAGAATCTACCACCGGCCTCGAACATGGAGGAACGTGCACCGAGGCCCCGGAGCTCTGCCCGGGAATCGGAATGTGTGTTTGCCAGAGGACACAGGAGTTCACAAGGAGTACTGTGTGGGACCTGGAGCTCTTTGGAACCCCTGGTGTCCTGCAGTAATTCACTAGGAGAAAGGATGAGGTCAGACAGTAGGTCACTGAAGGACTGTCATGTTGATTATGCAGGTGTTCTGCTGAGGTTATCAACCACCTGCCACCAGAAACCCATCCTGTTGACTTGTCAAAGCCGTGCACTGTCTCAAAGCCTTGCTTCTGTCATTCCAGATCAGAGATGAAGCCTAAGAAGATGCACTGCGGAGTCAAAGTGGGGGGACCTTGGAGAGTAGGCAGCTCAACTCTTTCAGCAGATGGAGTAATCCAAGCAGAGAAGTGACGAGATTCAGAAAACCACTTGATGAGGTCTGCAGTGTGCTGGGCCTACACCAGCACTTTGCTCCCAGAGTAAGTTGCCCTGGAGATTGTGTAAAGGTAAAGTGGTGTCTGGGTTTTATCTGGTGTCCCTGGAAATTCACACGAGCGACGGGGGCAGCACATCTCAAGTATACACTTATGGAAGAAGGGTCCTGAGACAGGTGCTGAGACCAGGGGACTGTGGGCCACAGGTCTTCCCAGGGGCACCTGGTCAAAGCTTTGTAAGGACATGCAGGCTCTCAGGGACTGAAATCCTAACACCATGTTGTCCTCTGATTACATCAGGACCTTTCTCAGAAGTTGAGCTTTTAAAGTTGAGGCGCGGACCTCATCCCCAACAGTTCCCCTTCCTGATGCTCTTCTCGCTTTTCCGTTTGAAACATTTCTGTTTCCTCAGAAAAGGTGGGAACATTGAGTTAAGCTGATGCACCTGCTCAAAAAATACTAAAACTACACAAAAAAAGGAAATATTCATTTAAACCTATACAAATCCTAACCTCTTCTCACAATACCTGAAGTCTCCAGCCAACCATCAGGCCTTCTCTGGCCTGGGCGGCAGCAGTTCCACCACTTGGAAGATGTGTCTGATGTAGTTTATTCTATAGTTTATGGATTGAGAGCAAGCCTCCGCAGGAGCCTCTCCTAAATCCACATATAAACAAATAGGAATGGGCCCCCAAATGTGAAGATTTAAAAGATCTTCCTAACAGCAGATAGACTTGAGATAGACACGAGATTAAGGGAGCAATTCTGCAAAATGGGCCCACTGTGTAACCCCCACATGCTTTCTTTTCCAAGAAGCAATTTACCTGCACCCCTGCCTGGCCTGAGTGGACAGGACATGTCACATTCCTCAGCAAATTACCCGTTATCTGCAGGAGAAATGAAGATAATGTCCATAAGAGGAATACCAGTTAGCCTGAAGGTGGACACTTCAGTGACCCTTTTTATGGACCAGATCCCCAAACTTAGGGAGATAAAGATAATTCCTCCTAATCATAAAATCTGTAAGAATTTATGGTTAAGAATCATAAACCATGCTGACCATGGTCAGCATGGGCCAAGGTGACCCAGAGTCAGTCATGGCAGTGGGGACTTGAAAGTCTGATGCCATCCTACTGTCAGTCAAAAGTCAAGAGGGGCTGGGGTTGTGGCTCAGTGGTAGGGCACTTGCCTAGCAAATGTCAGGCACTGGGTTTGTTCCTCAGCACCACATAAAAATAAGTACATAAAATAAAGGTCCATCTACAACTAAAAAATTAAAATTAAATTTAAAAAAATCAAGAGGTGGACCTGGGCAGGATCTCTGGATATTTCTCTGGGATCCCCAAGAAAAATGGAGTGAAGAAGCTCCTTGTTCCTTCTTTTCTGAGAGGAAGGACCCACTCTCCCCCTTGAGAGTGTCCCCACTCCCTTTTCCTGAACCTTCCATAAACTCATGCCTGTTACTCTGAGTGACGTTTTGAAATCCCTCTGATTTAAGAACTGGGTTGGAATGGGGGGCGATCTTCATGCTCCCCCAGTTTCCCAGAAGGTCCCAATTTTGTAACATTTCCAGAAGGTAGGCAGGTCTCAGGACAATCCTAAAAGTGACAAAGATGTACTCTTGATTCCGCCAGTTACTGGTGACGAGTCCTGCTTCCCGCATGTTGAAGTCCAGCATTAGAGAAGCAGTTGAGGAAGCATATGAAGCAGGTTTACTTAAAAAGGGGGAACAGACTCTCCCAGGGGGGAGAAGGGCCATAGCTGGTGTCCTGGTACCCAGGAAGGTGTTCCGCCTTTTTGATGTCTTAGGCTTCCTGGGTTCTCCTGCTCTCTTCCCTTTCTCTTTCTCCTTCCTACATAGGTGACCTCCGAGGCCTCAGGGTGGCCTAACCGCGGGAAACAGGTGGGCTGAAGGGGGAAGGGCAGGACATAGTAATTAACAACTTTCACAACTCAAGGTAGGGAGGGGCATTCCCCCCACAGGTTACCTTAGCAACAGGTTGGAGCAGGGGATGGAGGAGGAGGAGGGAGGAGGAAGGGCTCTCAAGGGATTTCACTCCCTCAGGGAGGAGTCTTTTATCTGTCTATGTGGACTGCTGTCAAATTCTGGCTTCACTCCTTGACCTCCGTCCCCACCTTCTCACTGACCAGCCTAGTTTTAGGAAGAATCCTGCAAAGCTGATTCGGAAAACATCCCCACCTTGGGGTCTGATCACCCCTCATCTCTGACCAAGTACCTCACCTCTCGCCACCCTGGCCTGCCTTCAGCAACAATCCTGTTCAATCGGTTTAGCAAAATCCCCCCTTGGACGTCCTGGTGATTTCCCATCTACTGGCCCCACACACTCCCTAGTTCTACTCATTGACTATAAAGCTCCAGCCTTGGGTGCTGTATTCCTGTTGAATACCATTTCTCTCTGAATGAAGTCCTTCTTACTGTTTTAATAAGTGCCAAAGTCATTATTCCTTAAGTTGCCAACGAAAATCCAAACCCAGAGTCTTTTTGAGGAGTGCGCGCTTTCTGGGTCGCCGGTTATGTGGGCCACGGAGTCGCCAGCAAGGACTCCTCCGAGCACTCAGAGGCAGAGGCGTCCACGCACAAGGACTTCGTCCACGGGGTTCTAGGCTTGGGACCTGGCAGGGGACAAGGCAACCAGAGGCGCGCGTTCCGAGAAGCGGCGGGAACAAGCCTGCGGCGACAGGGACGCTCCCCCGTGGCCCAAGGGCCCGGGCCTCCGCAGCGCACTGCGGGGGCTCCGCGCGAGCGGCGGGCGGTCACCCAGCAAGTGCACGTCCCGGGGG